ACCCAGGTCTTCATGCATGCTAGGCAGGCAGTCTCCCACTAAGCCACATTCCCAGCCTTGTACCAAATAATTTTGAGTGCCTTATTCAGCTGGTGTGCCGTACATTCTCTACCCCTTCTCTGGATGAGGAGTGAGTGGCAGCACAGAGGAGGAAACCCCTGTGATCACAGCACTGGGAAGGTGAAGGCTGGAGGATCAAGACCTACACGGTGACTCTCTCAAAACAGCAGGCAGGGTGGCTGAAGCCTGCAGCCCTGGCTACTCGGAGGTCGCAAACAGGGGATTACTGTTCAAGGGAACCCATGCATAAAGAACCTCACACACAAAAAAATTGTTTTTGTTTTGGTTGGTTGTAGGGGTTGAACTCAGAGCCTGGGTGTTGTGTATGAGCTTTTTCACTCAAGGCTAGAACTGTACTACTTTGGCCACAGTTCCACTTCCAGTTCCTGCTGGTTAAATGGAGATGAGTCTCACAGACTTTTCTGTTCAGGCTGGCTTTGAACTGTGATCCTCAGATCTCACTTTCTGTGTAGCTAGGATTACAGGTATGAGCCAACAAAATTTTATCTCCACCAAATTTTATCTCCACTTTGCAGCAGTACATACCTGTCATCCCCAGCAATGCTGGGGACGTACAAGTAAAAGGTTGGAGATGTGGCTCAAGTGGTAGAGCTCCTGCCCTGCAAGTGGGAGGCCTGAAATTCAATCCCTAGAACCATCACCAACAAAACTGAACAAACAACAAAACGCCTTGTTTAGGGGTCCAGCTCAGCTGCAGAGCACATGCTCAGCTAAAAAAGACCTGGCGTTCCATCCTTAGAACCAAAAACCAAAAAGGGGAAGGCGCCTAGAGAGAAGCTGCAGTCAATGACTTTAATCACTCTTGGTCAAATTTAAATGTTTACCTCCTCTTCATAAACAGACAACATGAGCAGTCCCATCGTCAGGGAAAGAGGAAGAGGGAAGGAAAAAGGGGGAAGGAAAAAAAAAAGACAGAGGGTGAATAACTTTGAAACGCATTGCCAATATATACAACCACAACGTAACCTCACGAACAGCTTTTGGTCAGTAGGGAGAGGCAAGGGAGAGAAAGAGGCTCTGGGGAGACTATAAGAGAGGGCTGGGCTGATAAGAAGGATAGAAGAGGAGGAATATCGGCTAAGTGGGTTATTTCCAACTAGGAAAACAGAACAATGAAGCTGCGCACTGGGGGCTCATGCCTCTAATCCTAGCCACTCAGGAGCCTGAGATCTTTTTTTTGTTGTTGTTGTTTGTTTGTTTGTTGGCCATGGGGCTTGAACTCTGGGCCTGGGCACTGACCCTGAGCGCTTCAGCTCAAGGTGAGCGCTGTACCACTTGAACCACAGTGCCACTTCCATGGAGCCTGAGATCTGAGAACCAAACCAGCCTAGGCAGGAAAGTCTTCAAAACTTATATTTAATTAACCATTCAAAAGCTGGAAGTGGAGGTGTGGCTTAAGTGGTAGAATGCTAGCCTTCAGTGGAACAGCACTCAGGCCCTGAGTTTAACCCCTAGTTCTAGCTCAAATTAAAAAAAAAAAAAAAGCCAGGCACTGGCGGCTCACGCCTATCATCCTACCTACTCAGGAGGCTGAAATCTGAGGATAGCAATTCAAAGCCAGCCTGAGCAGGAAAGTCTGTGAGGCTTTTTAATCTCCAATTAACCACCAGAAAACCATAAGTGGTGCTGGGGCTCACGGTGTAAAGCTCAGGGACAGACCCTAGGCCCAGAGTTCAAGCCCCACAACTGACAAAAAAGAAAGAAAACAGAACAATGAAACCTGCTGAAATTGGGAAGAGTGGAAGGGACAGTAATGAAGGAGTGTCATTGTTTGTAACATACTATATACAAGTATGTATCATTATGTAACATTAAAATATTTCTCCCCAGGGGGCTGGGAAGTTGGCTCAGTGGTAGAGCGCTTGCCTTGCTTGCCTGAGGCCCTGGGTTCGATTCCTCAGCACCACATAAGCAAAAAGAAAAAAGCCAGAAGTGGC